CATACAGAGTAGAGAAGAAAAGCTTTGCATCGGACGCTTCTAAACAAATTAGTGATGTTGATTTTGCATTGTCTAATGAAGGTAAAGATTAATCATGCTTTTCTTCAATATAAATTATCCGGATTAATATTAAATCAACAATGTTGTGCAGCTCGCTTTGTAGCTTTAAGTACAATTAAACTCCCGCAAGAATTTGAAGATCCGAAACCTTTTGAACTAGAAACGGGTGCCGAAAAGTTTTACACATTTGTTTTTGATACTTTCAATTCACGCCCTAGACGTGAACCTGCCAAATTAAAAGGAGCGATTAAGTTTTCCTCCGATAATACAAAGTTCATTGTGTGTGATATGCAGCCTCAAAAAAAAAATTTACTTTATATCTTCTCAACACAAAATTGGACTTTGTGGAAAAAGGACTTTTCGAATATTTACGATAAATTTACGAATAGCTTGCAATGCATTTATGACCCATGGAATCAGATAAAGTTTTTGAAAAACTCGCTTCTTGGAGACTACTTTATATGCGTCGAGAATGTGAGTATAACACTATTGGATCACTCTTAACATATCCCTTACATTCCTGCTAATGTTTGCACTCTGATTGGATGGATGATACGCTACTGAACAAATTTTCTATTTTTAGTGGAAACAAGCATCACTCTGGTCGATATCTGAACGTGAACTGATAACTTCCATTCGATACCCGGCAGAAGATTCTTTCCTAAATGCTGATAAAGAACCGGCCGTATTTGCTCTTTCTCATAACAAAAAAAAGCTTGCAGCCTGGACCTCAAAAGGAACACTTGTAATTTTTTCATGTGAAGGCGGTGCCATACTTTCCTCTGCAACGAGCCGCGACCCCAAGGAAGAGACAAGCATATTATGGAGTCGCAGGGATCAACGTATTATGATAATTAACGCAACTGATGGAATGCAAATACGCGACGCTCACACTTGTATGGACATCGCTGACGAAAATGTACGTATAGCGCCAAACTCAGTATTCCAACCAACAGGCAGCGGTTTGTACGTCAACTATGGCAAGCAGGTTCCATTAATCAGCAAATTTACGATTGAACGCGAGTCAGAGGAGCAGTCAGTAATAAGCGAAAACGAAAGCGCTGATATAGTGCCAACGGAACTAGAATCCAAGAACTCGAAACTAAAATTCAATTACTCGAAACTAGGTGTGTGATGTGTTCTGCGTGACGAATGTTTTTGAAAAATTCTAACTTTCCAAATAAAATTTCGGTGTCTAATTTGAAATAAGCGCCTCCACCCATGGCAAGGTTTGGCAACCGTTTGCGAAGCAAATCGCGGCAAGATCCTAACCCAATCGGCTTAATACGTCTGTATATTGATCGTGCAACCATCGATCAGGCCCTCGGTTTATTTCTGGCGACAGGTGGAGTCTTGGATCCATACGTAACAATTGCCGATTTAGCTACCGAACCAAGTGCCGATTTAGCTACCAAACCAAGTTACGGGAAGACAAAAATTGTGTACAATAGTAAGAAGCCCCTCTGGAAACAAGTCTTTTATATCTCATTGTATGACCAGCAAAAGAAGCTAAAGCTGAAAGTGAACGACCATAATACGTTCGCTAAGGACATTCCGTTGGGCACGTGCATTCTGGATGTTAGCAAAGTCGTGGCGCGAGCTCGTGAAACAAACGAAGCCAAGTGTGAGAAAAGATATGCTGATTTGAGATATAAGGGTAATGTCACTGGTAGACTTCGATTTGACGTGGAATTTATCCCCCTTGACGACGATTATTTGAGAAAAGCGTTGGACTCTCCTTCTTTTGGCCTAGATTGTCTCTATTCCATCTTGTCTCTTCAAAGTCAGACAGGATCATTTCAAGTCGACGATCGCTCAGCTAAGCTTTTTAACTTTTCAACCGTCGAGGAATTGATCCAACCATTTCAGGAGAATTTCAAGTCACTTGACAAATCCATCATTGTGTCGGCTTTTGTCCTATCATTTTTTCAGGTTGTCTTATCGAAACATGAAACAGAATGGCTGACATCATACATAAAGGGGGAAAATTGGATTGCCGAATCCATTAAAAATATAAAAACTGAAGAACGGTTGTATGAAGAAGCAAGGAACTATATTATCGAACAGTTCAACTTCCTTGAGAGCGAAAGTCAGACCGACAAGACTGAAGGATGTACAACACTTGCTTCTAGTCAATATCAAGACATCCGCCGGATACTTTCATACCAAACTAAAGGCGTTTACGTACTCGATGCTCGTCTTGCAAAACTTTTCGGATACGAGTCAGCGGAAGTTGCACGAAAAAATTTACGAGATTGGTTTTCATCGAAGTCTATTGACGTTGATGAGAAGATATACTGCACAGCAGTCCTTCAATGTTACTTCCGCTACGTACTGGTTGATCACCGTGAAACGTGGGAAGATGCATACAAAAAGTCGTCCAATTGGTTAAGCGAGCAAATTGGTGACGAGGAGGTCGAAAAGAAACTACTTGAGCAGGCGAGAGGATTTGTTCATGACCGTTATAAAGTTGATGTAACAAAGGATTTGTCTTTCAAATCAACTAAGAAATCCAAAACTGAAGAGGAGGATGTCGATGAAGAATTTGACTATATTGAAGAGGATGATGAATTTGAAGAATTTGATGACGATAACGAGCTATGCGAAGATGAATATGATGATAGTGACACTACGGTCGTTGGCATTCTCAGAGTCAAAATCGATCAAGCGAGCGATATTTTATCGGGCGGTATGGGTGTTCGCGCCTTTAAGGTTAATTCACAGGGAGCTGCCAAAAAAGGGACGCCTGCATACACAGCCGACAGTGCCTACGGAGTACATTGCGTCCCAGTACGCAATGCAAAGGGACAGCTCGTTTTCGAAATTTTCGATAAAACGTTGACTGATTTTAATGCCGAATTTTTACTAACGCTGAGTGATTTGATTACGCGCAATTCAGATGGACTATATAATAAGAAACAAGCCTTGGAAAAAAGTGAACAGATCAATATTCCGGGAGGGTCTAAGTGCAAGATACGGCTTAACGCTCAATTTTATTCTACAAGATCTGAAAGTGGCCGCTTCGATTTCAGCAAGGACACTGTTGACATCAATGACTTGTACCGTCTTATCGGCATGACATTTAACGCCAGTCTTTCCGATGTCAGCAACAACTTAGCCCTCAGCTTTAAAGTTGAATCTGCGTCGGATTTTTTTCACGCCCTAGCAACGCGTATTGGGACTGACAAACAGCTAATGTCTGTAAGCATGCGCGTTTGGTCCACAGCTTTAATCATTACGTATATTAAGAAATTTTACCAGAAGTTCCAAAGCGAATGGACGCTGTCCATTAACAGTTCGGAGCAATGGATTAGTTCTCAAGTTTATTCCATAGATGTAGAAGAGCGTTTATACGATCTCGCGAAGAGTGTTGTCACTTCATATGCGCCAGGTAATAATTTTTTTGCCCCTAGTTTTTGAATACGCGCAGATCGACTCAGTCGTTTAACGTACGTCTAATGTCTATTGCATTTAGTCGAGAGATATGTTACCGATGATGGAAGTCTCGTGTATGATGAGCCAAGTACGATTCCTGAAACAAAGTCTGAAATTTTGCCGTCTGCGCCCATTGCTGATGACCCTTTGAATAAGCCGAAATCGGTGTCCACGGACTTTATTTCTATTTCTCAGTCTGTTTATTCGGTTGTTTCTCCCAAGACCAAATCAAAGAGA